ATACAACGGTTTACGTAGTTGCAAATACGTAAATACAATATATATTTACCTGCAGTATGTTACCGACTTAGGAACATCTCAAAGTGATATTTTATGGAAACATTTCAGTGACAGGGTTTGTTCTTGTTTTAAAATGTAGCTGTTTGCTGGTGATGTGTTGGAAGAATGGAGACAGCGAATGAACATGAAATTTGTACTCATGAGCTCTGTGCGAGACAAATATCATGCTACTAGGAGTAAAATTATTCAGGAGTCCTGCACAAAGTCACTGTATTATTTGAATCCCAGGTTTTCCATCAACGCATAACTTGGAAGGGATTTAAGGGGGTCACAGGCCGCCTTCTGGCCCTCAGTCCAGCATTTTTATAGTTAAAGGGGCCTGATTCTCATTCTCACCCAATTTTTGTTTTTGGAATTAATTAATTCGGTTAAAAAAAGCTGGGAGATACCTGGTAGTTTGTATTGTTTTGTCCAGTGTATTATCCCAAGCCAAGTTTTCTACAGTATGTTATTGATTGCTGCGTCTGGTCTGGCTTTGAAATGTTTCAGACCATGAGACTTTTATCATTCTTCTAGGGCTACTATTTCATCTAATAGATTTCACTGACAGGAGGTTTTTCCTGATAATCCTGGTAGCGCTCTTCTCTGGCTTTGTGATAAGTGACTCCATTATTCTTTGAAATATGTGGGTGATCAGTGGACATTTTCAAAAGATTCCCTTCCAAATTGAAAGACAAAGAGAATTTTAAGCAATATAGAGGATAGATAGCAGGAGAGAAAAAAAATTTATTGAGCTGGATATACTTTCTGGTAGAAATATGTTTCTGAAGTCTGCAACATACTTTTCAGTGACACACAATTATGATGGATACTACTCTTGAGAGACTCAGATTTACTTTTCTAGAGACCTAAGCTAGCTTGTTATTTCATTGTTAAGGTACTGACAGTGGAATTTCTAAGAAGTAAGACTGAAAACCTGTCAGCAGAGTGAATATGTGAATCTTTCCATCATTTCAACCTCTTCTTCTGCTACTTTTTGTGGTGTTTGTATCTCTTATTTTGGGCTTTTGTCACACGTTGTAAAGGCCAGTGTTGTACGTCTGGGTCTTGGCAGGTTGAGAACTGTGACTGTGAATAATGAGTCAATTTTCACTTAGTCAGGGGGAAGGCAGAGTGATCCTCTTGCTGGCTTGAATGTGATCCTTCCTCCTTCCCCTTTTCTTTCAAAAGTAAGGACAGAAATGGTTGAAATTGAGAACACTGTCAAAGAAATAGAGCTCTGATATTTCTCTGCAGATTGTGGTTTCTTTAAATTTAGAACAATTTGTGTGTGTTGTTTTTAATAATACTTTTTTAACATCATGACTGTAACTGTTTCAAGAATGCCAGTTATGTGATGCATGCGCTGAGAAACTATAGGTATCAATAGTTCCTTTGGACATCTGAAGGCGGATCTTACTGGCCCTGAGGGACTGTGCTTGAAACTAGCAACGCAATGTTTGATTCAGCTCCCCCCCTCCAATTTTTGTGGCACATGGTTGTGTAGCTGATATTCTGACTGCAGCATGCACTTCACAACTACTTGGGGTTGCTTAGGCTTTTTTCTTTTCTGTCTGAATTTTTCTTTGCTTGGAGTCATCAATCTGGTATCACAGTTGTGAATGTTTCATCAAATGGAATGTTTATTATTCTATAACCCAATAACTCCTCAATGGTCTTAACCAGAAAAAAAGTTTCTGACAGCAGTTTATGGCTGATCTCTTAGGAAAAGGGATAGTGCTTCTAGCTGTAGTTTGGGGTTGGTAAATGGCACATAAATACTATGAATGCACTTGATTTCTTACTAGCTCATTTAATCTATCTAGTTGTTTAACTGTGACAATAGCTCAGCTGTCCAGAAAGTATATAACCTAATAAAATAAGTTTGTCAACTCATACGTAGTCTAATTATAACTGCTTAACTATGTGTTGTAGGTCTTTTGATGCTAAAACTGATACTTTATTTGGAGAATTCAGAACCTGTATTTTGGAGAAGGATGATGTGATTTATATCCCTGAAGAATGAACACAGAAGTATCCAAGATAGGCATGGGCTTGTGCAGGAATATCATCTTTATTCAGAGCCTATCAACTGTATGAATCATGTTGCTGATGACTCCAGTTGATGGTGCCTTTCATCTCTCCGTTGATCTGGCTGAGAAAAGTGTATGGCTTCCAGAAGCTTTTTCTCATTCCTCATACATAAGGGTTCCTGGTGTGTACGGGGAGGATACTGAGTCCTCTTTACCTATTGTTACTCCATAGGCCCGCACATGTTTGGCTGCATAATTTGCTAGTACACACATACCCTAAAATTCATTAGTATCCTTTTGTGGCTTGTCAGTCTTTTATATAAAACTTGTAAGTTCTTAGTATAAAAGAGGAAGTCCATCCTGTTTTACCACTACAGTAACAAAAGATTGAAGCTTTTTGAGCTAGTCATCTAGTTCTTCCTGTAAAGTAGGGTGACAGTAAAAATATCTTCAAATAGTGGGTGACCATTTTACCGGTCAAGAATTTTAAAAGAGTGTTTCTTGTGTAATACTGCTTCATTTCCATGGCTTGAAAAAGAGATGATGTAGAAAGAAGAGATTGCCCATATGTACTGCTGTTTCCAAATACTGTTTTAGGAAAGTACTTGCTAAAAAAGCAGGGAGAAGGCAGATGTCGTATCAAGACACCTGGAATTTAGGAATTGTTCAGAGAATTCATCTGTGGTCTGAGTGTTAAAATCTGTTTGCTAGATTGCTCTCGTCTGGTGCAATTTACTCTCTATGAACCTTGACTCTTATGGGTGTGGACTTCAGGTTATGCTCAGACTGCCAGCCCTTTCTTTGTGCCATAGTAACTGCAGCACAGAGCTGTCCCTGGGGAGTAGTAACTCTTTGGTGGATGGCTCAATGTAGTAACCCGAGGGTATCATTAAAACTCTCCACAAGAATTGCTTCAATGCTTGTAACACGTAATTATGCTTTAGAAATGCACTGCACTGTTTCTTATTGTTACAAAGTGTATTTTTCAAACTAAAAGCAAACTCTCAAACTTAACTCTGTTAAATGAGCATTTATTTTTCATCAAGAACATATGGTGTGAAGTTCATTTGAATTGTCCTATGGCAACTCCATATTTGATAATGGGACTTTTAAAATAAAAAGCCCTACATTTTTATTTTGGCCATGTTTAGTATATTTTTTGCCATGTTGTAGGAAAAAAAGCTATGGGTTCAGAAATCCATACTTCCATGCACATACTTGTCCTGATCTGTAATCGGCCCCTAGATCCAGTCTGTACTGTCGAGATTTTGTTTGATGATCACCTAGCTATTTCCTAATTCTGCTGGCTGCTCCCATGCCCCATGAACCTGGCTGGTAAGAGAGTCAGAAGCACTAATAGTCGTCTTAACTTTGCTCTTGTTGTCCAAGGAGTTGTTAAAGATCTGAAAGATATCACAAGCTATCATTGAAAGACTCAGTTCTGTTTCTGAATGCTTCCCTGTTTTCAGTGAGGGCGCAATTAGCCACTATTGGTGTATAAAATAAACACGAGAGAAGTTCTCGTCTGTCAATGCACTGACGAAACATTTTTCCAGTCTGTCTTTCAAGACCAAAGGAATCCCCTAAGGGAACAAATGCTGCTTGAACATCTGTATTTAATCTTTAATCTCAGGATCTAAATTTCTGGCAATTAAATATCACTGGCATACCGCTGTTTCTTATTCTGATCCCAGTCAAAAAATACATACTTGCAAAATTTTCCCACCCAGTTGCATTGCTGATATAGGGAGGAAGTCAAATCAGTAATAAGCTAAATCAAGAGTGTACAATAGTTGTTAAACACTGAAAGCAGCAATGCCTAAAGAAATGAAGTCAAATGAGGTGTTTTACTAACGAAAGATGCAGGGGCTAGGTTGTAGGACCTGTCAGTGCATCTCATCACATCGTCCTGGACTGGTGGAGGTACTGGCAGCGGTGCCCAGGAACACCTAGGAGCTCCGTGGGTGCAGGCCCTGGGCAGACTCGCAGCCGATATCAGTATCAGCTCTGATGAGAACTGCCAAGGCTCACGTCTATACTAGACAACATGGGCATTTGCTCTAATGGTCGTGAGGTTCACACACGGGGCACACCTCTGGGCAATAGTCAGTATGAACAGGGTGATACCAAGATATTGAGGTAGAAAATACAAGAGCTACTCCATTTTTGGACCAGATCATTGCTGTACTATGATCAAAAAATCAGAGTTCTTTCTTGTGCTTGATGAGAAGGTACACCGTCGGTTAGGTATATGAAGGAATATGTGCACTTGAACTGCTAAAGACAGCAAGTGATTTTGTGAGCACAGATCCCACCTAAGCACAGTTGCTGGACTTTTTAAAACTAGACATGTAAGTGTTGGGAGTGTGTGTTACTGTTGGGGAATAAGGAGGCAGTTTCTGGTTTTCATTCTGAAAATGTACATCTAAAATAGCTCTACTGAGTGCATGCAGTTGCTATGGGGTTTACAGTGGTGTTGCAAAGAAGAGACTCTTCATATGGAGACTCTTCATATGGGCTGGTATTTGCAGCACCAGTATGTGCCATTTTGTGCAGAATTCAGAGAGCGTTTAAACAAAGTTTTTAAAGAAAAACTGAGGTGCAACCTTACTGTCTTGCTTTTTTTGGTATTATCAGCTCTCGGGTTATTTCATCACGTTTTCTGTATATTGCATAAGCTTTTGAGACAATGAATTCTTCAGTATTGAGGAACAGGTGATACTGTGTGCGCTTGAAGTTCAAGCTGCATGTTTGGTTTTATGATAAAGATTGCGAAATACACGTGTGTGATGCATGTGGAAGCTCTGAGCATGAGGGGAAAAGTGAATGTGTAAAATAAGTCAAAATCACATCTAATGAAATTCACATTTTTCTTTTTCTTGGATAGTGCATTATATGATATCTGATCTGGTGTGATTCTCCTTGCAGAGGAAGAGGGGAAGACAATTCAAGGAAGTAAAGTGGACTCCTTAAGAAAAACAATTTCTACTTCTGAATTACCAAATGGAAATAAACAGGATGGCTCACCTGGAAGAAACAAAGAAATGTGGATGTCTCTTCCACCACAGATGCCAAATGAGAAGGAGGTAATGAGTTAACATTTGTCCATGTGGATGAGCACCACATTCAAACAGATGAAAATATGGGGAGATACACTGTCCAAATGTTAGAGGCTAGTGGTATTTATCCCATCCGAGGCAAATGTTTAAAATACTACTTAAGTGTGTAATGATTACAGAGGCACCTGCAGGGATCGTGTTTGGCAGTGACATTTGCTCTACTGAAGAGCTGCCATAATCTGACTAATAAATAAGATGCCCTGCAAGGACCTTTGTAATGCTTTCACTGAAGACTGCAGTTAACAATAGAGGTTGGCGAAAAGGAAAAAGTCCTTTGGAGTATGGATGCCAGGATGCCTACATTCATTTTGTTTCTTGGGGATTTTAGCAAGTACTGAGTTCTGTGTTACTGAAGCTAGATTGCTTCAGCTACCTAAAATAAACAGTAGGCAGGCCAGAGGCATTTTTAATCTTCTGAAACATATGAGATTAGGGATTTAATGCATAGGGACAGGAAAACAACAGAGACATCATCTGGAGAGAGCGAGATGGAAATCTGAGTCCACTTGTTAGGAACTTCTGCCCTCCTGCCTGAATAACAAATAACTAAGCTATGATCTAACCTATACTAAAAAATTCCCTTCATTAAACTTTTTATTAAAAAAGAAGTAGCAGGTCATTTTTTGCAATACACAGAGCAAATGGTGGGCCTGCCAAGCCTCCTTCAAAGAGCACAAGCTGTCATTTTCCTCCCTACTTGCACGTGCCTTTGAGGTGGAATCAAGCAAGGCTTTTAAAACAATCACATTCTATCAGTTGATTGTGTAATAACAACGACAAGAATCTTTTGGCCATTTTTCTTATGAAGAATACGGTTGTCTCATTGGGATAGACTGCCTTTGGGTCTCTTACTTTAGTCGCTTGGAGTTGGCTTTCTACCCCATAAAGCAATGTGCAACTTCCATTATCCTTTATTTAATGGAACATCTTAATACTTGTCTTTGTTGCTACAGAAAAAAAGTTTCAGGCGTGGCTACACGTTTTTGTCACGTTAGCAATTTAAGAAACAGATACAGTAATAGTAGAATACATCAGAAAAATTGCTAGCATGGTAGCAGGAGGAAGCTGTAATGCAGTAAGTTGGCCACTGTAATCTTTAAACCTGCCCTGAGGAAAGGAAAGAGGGAAAAAAAACTGCTATTGAAAACAATGCTGCTGTTCTAAATACTGCTTTTTAGGCATGTTATGATTACTTGCACTGTTGTTCCAGTTGATTCAGTCTGGTCTTGTGTGGGATTTCAGAGGATTACCTGCATACGTTCTATTTTCAGAAGCATTGTATTCACTTTAAAAAAAATTTTAAATACTCTGTAAAGGATCTGTATGTGTAAATTAGTAGGAGCTTTAACCATGATTTTGGTTCTGTTTCATGCATATACGTCATTCTGCCTGTCTATCTACAGACAGTGATGAATGAGAGCTGGAAAGCTGGTGGCTCTGGTGGAAGTGGTCTCAGTCTGTCTGAAAGAGTGAAGGTGAGGTTTTCTTTGATTTTTTTCAAAGTGGGGATTATGAGCAGAACATGACTGATTTTTGCTTTATTCATTTACAAAATACTTGCAATTTGTTGATGTATTTATTTCCATCTATGGGAAATAAGGATGAGAGCATCACCGTCCACGTTTTTTTTTCAAGTGTTGATGAGTATGTACTTTTAAAGTGTAAAGGTTATGTAAGTGTTGATGAGAATGGTATCAAATCAGGTTGGATTTAGAGCATCTCTAATTACTTCATGGAAACATAGAAGACTACTCAGTGCATATAGTAAATCCTCCATGGTAACACTGTTTGCACATAGGCTGGGAAAGGCCTTTCAGTCTCACCCTATGCATCTATTCAGAGTGCTACCTGAAATAAGAAACATCTCTTCTTGTGGTATGTTTTAGGTTAGACAGTTTTCAAGGGACATCACCCTGGAAAAACAGTAGTGCAATGTCTCAGATGAAATACTAAAAATTTAATAATTCTTAGCTTTTTTATTTCCCATTCAGTTCACCACTAGTATCAAAACAGAAGGATCAAGCTCTGCTTTGCCTGCAGCATGTATTGTCTCTGTGCCATAGGCAGTGAGCTTGCAAAACTGCAGAGTAACTTATCATGTATCTTTCTCCTGTGAAAATATTTTACTTCTCCGTCTTCCCACTAAGTTCCTGAAAAAGTTGCTGTACAGCATGAGCTTCTTTCCCATCACTGTGGTGATAGGCAGCAATCTTGGCAGCAATTCTTTGCCTATACGTAAAAGTATCTCCTTTGGGTTACACATTTTAAAGAAAATCCATATGTTTTCTTGGAAAAATGCAGGGGAGAATGGAAAAGATGAAGCAGACAATACAATGCTTTTTTACTTTGCTCTAGATTGTACTATAAAGAATGGAATGAAGACATTTTAATGTATTTTCCAATTTGGGTTTTTTATGGCAGGTGGACAAGTACTTAGATTTGGAAGATACAGACACAGATGAAGAGACATGCAGTGGTAGGTTCCCCCCCCCTCCCTTCATATTCACTATCGTTATCTGTCTTTGGATGCAAGTGTATGGACATTGCTTAAAGAACAGTTTCTCCTCCAAAAAAGATGTTCTTCCTCTGTTCTTCTCTTGCTAGAAAATTCCCCAAGTTGCCCAAATTCCCAAAATTAAAGTACTCATTTCCTCACTCTAAGAGGTAATAAGATAATAAATTATAAGGAATATTTATTATACTGTGTCCTGGTGAGCAGGTGTTTTTTTTTTCAAGATTTTTCAGAATTGCAGAACACTTCTTGTTCTACACGTTTCTACATTTTTCTGCACTTCTATTTTGTATTGAAATTATTTCGATTACAAAAGTTATCCACAAAGTAACATGAGTGCTAAGAGAGAGTTCTATAAAGTGGAAATGTTTAATGAAAATGTTGTCCCTGCCTATTAAAATGATTTCATCCAGAGCTTAAAATAGATGAGACTAATTTTGAATTCACAGTGAACTTCTTTAAGAGTTCCAATTATGATCATTTTGAGTTGTGTTGAACTGTTCCATACATCTATAGTAATTTTAACTCCCCCATCTCAAAAAGGTAAATAGAAACTTAGTGTCCATAGTTATTTGTCTATCATAGGTGCTTGTGTGGTCTTTATTACCACCAGAATTGATGGCCTTTCAATTGATTAAATTCATTTTCCTCATCTATACCTGTGACTGCACAAAGAAACTGAGCCACAGAGGTTAAGGCATTTGCCTAAGGTCACTGAAAGAAGCTGTTACATAGCAGGACTTTGATCTTCAGTTCCTTGCTTATTGCCATTTGATTAGTCTGTCTAATCCATTAAAGATTGTTCCCTTTGTAGGACTTGTTCTGTGTTTATGTCTTAAATTCTGGTAATATCTATTAAAAAACCTGGGGCTTACTGGTGGAAGCCTAAACCCACACATTCACTTGTATCATAACGAAATGAGAATTGTCTATGTCTAGTTCATGGAAGTATTGTTAGATATCTCTAGTTCAAAACAGGCTGCAAATTGGATGATGAGAAATAAGCCCAACACTAAAATAACAAGCAGGGCAGTGAGGACAGAAGAGCACTGCCAGAGCTTGAGGATAGTTTGCCACTTTCTGGGCCGTGCCAGACCATGCCTCTCTCCAGGCTTTTCAGTCATTTCTGTGTATTTGTGTGTATTCGTGTGTGTGCATGAGTAAATGTTAATCACATTAGAAACCCCTAGTAAAACAGACTGCATTTGAACAAGATGAGAATCCGCTTGTACTGTCTGAACAGCACTTTATGTCGGCCACATTGGGAAAACCTTTCACTTAATGCTTTTACTGTTGATTATAAAAATAATAAACATAACATTATACCACCACTACTGTAGATTAACAGTGTGCTAACTACTTGCTTTTTACATGACATTTGAGTTGGCTTTCAATTTCTGCTCTCCTCAGCTCTTCCCATGGGTCAGCGCTCCCCGCACAAACTCCCTGCACAGGCTGCCTCAGCACAGAAAGAAGCCCCATCGACTCGTGAGCAATCAACACTGCTCACTAACAACACTAAGCATTTAGATTGTATTTTATAACATCAAAACACTGCATAGCCAGAAGCTAATTATTCCTTCTAAACTCTGTAAGGAAATTGAACAGCATCCAAGTTTATATCTGGGAAACCCACAGCCTGGGTCTTGTCCAGGGCTTCTTCAGTGGAGATGGTTGAGTCAGGATGAAAAATTTCCCCTTGATTCCTAAGTGCAGAAAATAAGACTTGTAGTTTGATAGTTGCCTTACCTGTCAAAATCCACTTGATGGGCTTCGTAATAAGAGAGGTAAAGTCTTACTCCGGTAGAAACCATAGCAACTAAAATAGAAACCAAATGCAAACTAAAATATAAAATGGTATTGCTTCTATTGTTTGTAGTAATAAAGTAATATAAAATAATATGCCTATTGTCCACCTTAATAAAGTATTAATTCTGAAGAATTCTAGTTAGTTTATAAGTGAGGCAAAGTGTGACACAAATTTGAAAGACATTCTGTCGCTGGCCTTTTTAAATGCTGCCACCTGGATGTCAGAACGGATGATAGATGTAAAACTTCATATTGGCAAAACAAGCTAGGACACCCAGTAAAAAAATCGTACCTTGCTGGTATAATTATAACAAGCTTTCATCTCTACTTGTTATGGGCAACAGTTCAGTATCTCCATACTTCATTTAGCTTTAAAGGGCAGATCAGTTAGCTGAGTTAGCAACTGTACATTAGTACAGTGAATATTCAGGCTGAAGGGGAAGAGGCTCAAAGTTGACAGTGTGAAAAGCGTGATGGAAAATAGGTGTTAAAAACATCCCATCTAAACCAATGCTTTTTGGGAGATGTCCTGGTAGAATAATTCTAGGGTTTTTTTTTTTCTCTCTTCTTTTTTTTTCCCCCCAACTTATTTTCCTGAGTTCAATGTCTTTTAAGGTGTGAATGAATACAACTGTTTCTTACAGAAGGAAAAAAAAAGCAGCCCATAGATTTGGCCAGTATGCAGATTTATTGTAGCTGTTTTCATTAGACAGCACTGGGCTGAAAGCTTGAAACCAGGGCAATGCTTTGCATTGTGGGACTTTGGTGCAGTAAACCATGATTGGCAAAGTAAAATTGCTGTCCTAAACCATAGCTTTAATGCATTGTGTAGAGACAGCATGTGCATGGTGGTCTTTTTAATCGCTCTTTCTCACTGAATTGAATCTGTAACTGTAAGTAGCTTAAGGCAATAGAGATGATCGGCCTTTCTCCAGGGATGGATGGAGAATGCCTAGTACCTATGTTTTGGCAACAGAATTCCTTTCCAGGACTGGGGACAAATCACTTGCTACAGGGCTCGAGGGATAGTTAAGTAATAATAGGTAATATTTGTATCAAGTACAAAATACGTAAAAAGCACGTCTAGAGACCTTGAGTGTGCTATTTTTTAAATACAAGAGAAAATTAAAATAGGACTAAATGTATGGGTGAGGCTGCGTAGGCAAGGATATCAGAGTCTCATCCTAATCCAGTTTGGAGCCCTGAGGTACTGTAAACAAGGTCTCAGTTCTCTGTAGCCCCACAGAGGTTGAGGAGAACTCAGGTGACTCAGTTACTTTGAAGCTGAGGCCAAGCATAACTATTTGATTATTTAAATAATTCTTGAGGCAAATTACATCAATATCTGTTATTTTCCATAATCTATGCTTTTCCATTTATATTTTGAGCCTATATTTACATCCAGAAAAATCAGGTTGAAGAAGAGGATTTGGGGTTAAATTATGTGGATTTTTTCAAGTATGGAGCTTCCCCCAACTAGTGAATCTCTTTCTTTTTTTCTCCTCCAGTCTCCGCAATCCATTTAACATGGCCTCGAGAAGATTTCACATTAGGCAGGTCTTTGGGGCTAACAGCCTGAGAATCAGAGAAGATAGCAAAATTTAGCTTTTATGCTTTTTTTGTTATCACTACCTCCTTCCTCAGCTCCCCATCAACAGCATTTTTGTGAAATGTAGTGTCTGAAAGTGGTAAAACCTGTGCTACTGTATCTGTATAGCTGGGCATCATTTGGCTACAGTAAAGCTAAAGATACAGACAAGACTTTGAACTTCCTCACTCTTGAAAGGTCAAATCACGTTTATGCCAATAAATTATTTTTTTCTATTCTTATAATTAATGTCAGTGGTACACAGTGAGAAAAAAACCCCTCAACTCAGCAGTATTCACAGATTTAGTAAT